TTGTCATTGGCCATGTTTCTGTACCATATAACAACACCGGACGTATCACAGATTTATAAAGTCTTGATCGTAATGGTAGTGGGATGTCACGCTGCATCAATATAGAGGCAAGGAGATGTCATTTATTCCAGGCTGCACGTATGCGTGCACGAACGGCAGCTTCAGCTGTTCCAGTACAATCCAGAACATCCCCTAGATATTGAAACGATGTGACTTTCTCTATTTTAATGGCTTCAAAAACAGTGCTATTTCGAATTTGTTGTTGTGGATTGATGCAAGCAGGACAAACAAAATTGGACACTTTAGATAAAGTACCAATTATTTTTGAACAACGTTTGTGACACCACTGGTTACACTGCTGACACTTGATTGAATTGTTACCTGCACCAGCTTTACAAACTGAACAGGGCCATCGTCCAGTAGCTGTGGATTGGATGGGTTCACCAGTGTTCATTGCTTTGGTTTTGCTGATGTTGACTTTGAATCCATGATCGGCGAGTCTGGTGTTTCAATCTTCAAACATCTGTGCTGCATTCTGCTCAGACGTGGCTGTTAAAACGATATCATCAGCATATACTAGATTCCAAATGTCACCAGTGCGTATCGGTTTTGTTATTTCTTCCATCACAGTTATAAATAACAGTGGACTGAGAATCGAGTCTTGATGAACTCCAACGCCGATGTCAAATGCATCTGTGTTTCCAACCGTTGTGCTGACAAGAGTCTTAGTATTCGTATACATTTCCATCACAAGTCGAACAAGATATTCTGGAATGAGTTGTCGACGTAGACTCCAACGCCGATGTCAAATGCATCTGTGTTTCCAACCGTTATGCTGATGAGAGTCTTAGTATTCGTATACATTTCCATTACAAGTCGAACAAGATATTCTGGAATGAGTTGTCGACGTAGACTCCACCTGATTGCTTGACGGGGAACTCGATCAAATGCTTTTTCAAGGTATACAAAAATGTGTAACAGTTGTTGATGCTTTGCGAGGTACTTCTCTTGCAGTTGCCGAAGGATGTGAATTGCATCAATTGTTGATTTCCCCGCTAGGAAACCAAATTGATAATTTCCGATTGTGATACACGACGTTAATCTTCTCTCAATGATTTTTTCGAAAATTTTCAGGGAGTGTTCTAACAGACGTATACCCTAATATGATGAACAGTTCAATGGATCACCTTTGCCTTTGTATAGCGGGACTGTCATGCTATAGTTCCATTCAGTCGGCATTGAGCAATTCCTCCAGATTTCACGGCAAAGTTGTAGTAACGTTTGGATACCTGCAGTACCAGATGCTTTGATAATGTCATTTGTGAGTCCAGAGGGCCCTGCTGCCTTTCCATCCTTCATAGCTTTCAGAGCTTCTGTAAGCTCCTCTACAGTGATGTCTGGAATTGGACCTTCGATGGGTGGAGCGTCAAAGTTAACTTTGATGGGATTTGTTTCGTTTAACAGACGATTTTTGTATTCTCTTCACTGTAGCTTGATCTCATCTTGTTCAAGAACCATGTCATTTTTGTCGTTTTTGATACATGAGGCACCAACTATGTCTTTTTCGTACGCTTTGCTTGTTTTGCTATACGATACATAGATTTCATTTGTTCACCTTTGCTTTTAATGAGCCACTCTCTGCACTGATCTGTCCGTGCCAGTGCCACTTGACGTCTTGCATAGTTGTTCTTCTCACTGAAAATTTTATGGTCATCTACAGAATTTGATTTTTGCCACTGCTTGTATGCAACTTTCCTTTCAGCTATTGCATTTTGTACACTGTCATTCCACCATCAAGTGTCACGTTCATGCTGACGTTTTGTACCAGTTTTCCCACAAACTGTAGTTGCAGCGTTCATTAAAACGGTTTTGTATGTACTCCAATCTGTACTGGCTTGCGATTGGTGGTCTAACTGTGTGGCGACAATCTGTTGAAATTTTTCTCGATGAATATTGCTTTTTATCTTCCACGTTTTGATTCTCCGAGGCATTTGTTTAGACTTATGTTTTGACAGTTCGACAACTAGGTCTGCCACAAGGAGTCTATGTTTGGCGACACATGATTCGCCAGGTATAACTTTGACGTTTTTGAACAGCCTTCGGTGTGGTTGCTTGACAGCGAAGAAATCAATTTGCTTGGCTGATGGTCCACTTTTGTATGTCATGAGATGTTCCAACCTCTTTCTAAAATATGTGTTCAGTAAACAAAACCCGTGACTTTCAGCAAACTCAAGAATGCGGTTGCCATCTTCATTCCGTTTTCCATAGCCAAAACCGCCATGTACGTTGTCAAAACCATCTGTTTTCTCTCCAACGTGGCCATTGAGATCGCCTCCAATCGGGATTGTTTCAGATTTTGGTGTTGTTGAGATGGTGTCAGAGAATGCAGTCCAGAAGTCATTTTTCATCTCTTCTGAATAGCCTGTCTGTGGTGCGTATGCAGAAAAAATAATCATTGTTTGCTTTTCTATGCGAAGCTTGATCCACATGAGACGTGAATTAATCATTTTAATATCCAGTACTTCTTGGGCTAGCGGTTCTCTGACAAAAATTCCAACACCATTTTGGCCGTCTTTTGACCATTCCAGAATAGTTTATATTTTTCTTTGTCTGAGTTGACATGACAGACACCATTCGATTTCCATCGGGTTTCCTGAAGGCAGCAAATGTCAATCCTTCTACGCTCGAGCATTTCTGCGATTTCCATGCTGCGGCCAGTCAGTGATCCAACATTGAGCGTTCCAAGTCTAAGTACCATAGAGGGGCCATTCTGAATTTTTCTGCAACATCCCTCCGCTATTTCATACTTCCCAGGGATTCTTCGCACCCCTTGACCACTTAAGGCCTGCTGGGGACTAGGGGCCGTTGTTTTTCTTTGTGATGGCATAGGAATAATTTGGGGAAAAGTTTTTACATCCGGACACCCATCCTGACGACAACCACCAGTTATAAGCGGTGGTCCTAGCTTTTCACTCAAAAGCACGCAAGGCAACGTGGATGCAGTTTTATGTCATACCCAGGACATTTTCTAGCTAAATCATTGAGCCATATTTAGCCAAATCCTTGTTGGATTCTGGACAACTCACAATGGTTTAGAACAAGTACTTATACACTTTATGATGATGATGGTGCTAATAAAATATATACACGTTAGTGTTAATCAATCATTGTCATTCACTAATCAACCTAGATTTGATAGAGAAGACAGTTCAAATAGAGAAGAGGTACATGGAGATTGAGGAGTACAGTGTGAAACTTCGATTGACTATCATCGACACTCCGGGGTACAATGATGCTCTAGACTGCTCAAACTGGTTTGTTTTTTGTTAAATATTTTTGTTGTTGCTTGTTATTCATCCATATCTACCAGGTGTTCTTCTACCTAAACTAGACAGTTGGATAAAAAATAATTTTAATATTTGCAAAAAATTTTTACATAAAATATTAAAAATTAGAAGATAATAATACGAAACTAATTAACTTTACTCAATTAACGAAACCAATGCGTGTTAAGAAATTTACGTGCGGGTGATTGATGTAGTCATGTGTGCATTAAAACCGAACTAGTTAACTAGTCGAAGTTTAATTAATTTTTGCAGGATGAATTTGGATAATAACGATTTTATTTTTAACTTTGATAAATCAGACAATTTCCAAAAATTTCTTGTAAAAATATTGAAATGACAAACTCTAATTTGATCAATGCTAACGATCTGATTAGAGATTCACACAATATTGTATAAAATATGATCTCCTTCCTACGTTTACGCGAATCTCTAGGACCGACTGACGAAACCTGACAACCGAGCAAGAACGTGTGCAGAGATTGCTTCATCTTTCTTAAGAGTTAGAGAAGAGACAAAACAAATTAGTGTTCAGCAAATATCACCAACATGGGATAACTTATTAGAGGAATTGAACAGATGCAAAATAGCTGCTACCATCAAAGATGAATTCAACAAATCTCGATTGCAGAATGGATTTGGATAATTTTTTCTTAATTTTACAAAATTAGGCAATTTTTAGAAATTTTTGTAGGAAAATTGAAAAGACAGACTTCAAATTAGTCACTGCCAACATTTCAATAGAATTCATACAATATTATATATATATATATATGTGTGTGTGTGTGTGTGTGTGTGTGTGTGTGTGTGTGTGTGTGTGTGTGTGTGTGTGTGTGTGTGTGTGTGTTTTTAACTTTTTTATTCATTTTATCTTATACAGAAAAAGATTTTTTTGGTAATCCTTACCAATTCAATGTAGCATGTTATCAACTATTGGTTGTATCTTATATATGCTTATATCGGTGCGTTTCTACTTTTTTGACTTTAAAAGATCACTTGCGTTGATCTATTGTTTCTCTTTATTGGTAGTTTTTTTGTCGTTAGCAAAATTACAGTATTTTGTTGAATATTTATTAAAATTGTATCTATGACAGTCTCAACCCTAATTTTATAAATAACAAATCACGGACTGACGATGTCACTGAAGTCAGTGACGCAACTGCAATGAATAGGAACTACAAAAGAGAGTATAAATAGAATTAAAAGAGAATTGAACATTCATATCGGAACATGGATGATGACAAAAATCAACGATAATATGAAATCCAACCGCAAAGTTACCTTTTGGAGCCAATAATGTAGGAATGCACAGATATAAGTTTATATAAGATACAATTATTAGTTGATAGCATACTAAATTCTACATTGCAAATGGTAAAGGATTACCAAAAAAAACTTTATCTGTATAAGATAAAAATGAATAAAAAAATAGTTGAAAGCTTTGTTTTTTATATAAATAAGTTGAAAATTATGATAAAAATACGATACAAAATATTGAAAAATTAAACCGGAAATTGATCAAAGCTGAAAATGCAATGATATTTCAATAATTGTATCTACTGACGGTTTCAACTCTAATTATATATTATTATTATTTATTATTATTAAGAAAAAATTTAATATAACGTGAGCAGTTTTCACAAACGCTATCAAATTATAACTAATATTCATATCAAAATATCAAGAATGAAAAAAATTGAATTATAATAAAAAAAGGTTTGTCTTTAATTGTCTTTTAAATTCAGTAATGTTCATTCCAGGCATTCTGAGGGCTAACGGCAAGCCGTTCCATACAACAGGGCTTTACATTGCAAAATCACGTGATCCAATCTTTAGCTTTCTATGAGGAACCATAGAATGTTCACACCAGATGTGCTCGACGTTTTTAATTTAAGTTTATCTGATAAATATTTTGGAGCCAGACCGTTTAGTGATTTAAAAACTGACAGAGATTTTAAACACAATTCATTTATTTATGGGCAACCAATGCAAATTATTCAGGATTGGTGTAGCATGATTATACCATCGACATCCAGCCACAATCCAAGCAGTACGGTTTTGAATAGATTGCAAAATTTTGATAGATCTGGCCGGGAGTCCATAAAACAAGCCATTGCAATAATCGACACGTGAGTGCAGCAACGCATGCGCCAGAGTTCGCATTGCATCTTTATCAAGTGATTCTCGAACAGGTTTCATTCTTCTAATCTGTGCCAGGCACGATATAGAAATAATTTTTAAATGAGATATCATTGTTAGGTTTGAATCAATTATAAAATCTAGGTTTGACACTGCTTTACAGAAATCTATTTTTTTATCCTTTTTAACAACAACTTATACCCAAGTCTACCAACTGCTGCCAGGTACCAATAGGGAGAAATTTTGTTTTATCCTGGTTAAGCTTCAATTCATTTCTCGACATCCACAAATTAACCTCCGCCATACATTCAATGAATCTCGTAATTTCTTATTGAAATAACTTCGGTTTACCTGATAGCATAATTTGAATCTCGTCTGCATATGCATGACTTGTAAAATCATGAGAATCAATTATCTTCAACACATTACATCCTATATATATATATATATATATATATATATATATTCCTATATATATATATATTCCTATATATATATATATGTAGGAATATATATATATATATATATATATATATATATATATATATATATGATTCTACCGAATGTTTGGCGTTAATATGTTTGTAGTTCGTTTTTTCGATTTTTCTCACTAAAGTTTTTTGGTGATTCCAAACATATTAACGCCAAACATTCGGTAGAATTTATAGAATATTGTAAAAACTATGGTTTATTACCAACATATATATAGGAATATATATATATATATATATATATATATATATATATATATATATTATTTATTTTTATTTATTTTTTACATTATAGAGGACTAAATAAGTTTAAAATAAACTTGTGAAGAGGCCACCCTTAACAAAGTCATAAATAAACAAAAGTTCAAAGGTTAGAAATTAAGAAAATCCATTTCAGCGTTCAAATGCATTCAAATGCTATATCAAAATTTTATAAAAATGTTAACTAGAATGAAATACATTCAAATAATACTTATGAATAATGAATTACGTGGGTCGGCCATACCTATACCTTGGACTTAATCCATCAAACACGAACGCATGTTAAAAAGTTCGTTTTCAATTAAATGAATTAGCATTCGAAATGATTAGAAAAATGCCTTTTATTAACTTGTCTTTTTATGACAAGAGTGAATAGAGAAACAAAAAAGTTAAATAACGTTAATTATGTCTCTTTTAAATGAATCAAAAACTGGCAAATAGAAATAATGAAAGAAAAATTAAAAAGTTACAAGGTACGTTTTGAGGTTCTTTTGCGGAAAGTTCAGTCCAATGTTGAACCACTTTCTAAAAATTACGTTCATATTCAGCTGCACGCATTACGTGTTTATGCAGCGTTATGCGATTACCTATTATAAACTCATTGCACACATCCATTAAACATTAGTTCTTCAATTTTATCATTTTTGCTTATTCAGCTGCTAAACTATCTTTAAACAATAATATTAATAGTCATTAGCATCAACATGATGATCATCAACAAACTCTTAATTTCAGCTGGCAGCCGATTGATGATTACATTATGCGACAGTTTGATCAGTTCTTGCGAGACGAAAGTGGATTGAACAGACGAAACATTCAGGACAACAGGGTGCATTGCTGCCTCTACTTTCTCAACCCCACTGCTAGGGGGTCGGTTTCAAGGGCTGATGGGGAGCTGGGGAGATTATGATATTTCAATGAAGATGGCGGTTTTATGGTGATGATTTTGGGGAGTGTGTTTACGTTTTTTTTCCATAATGACGCTTCAATTTTTTGTTGTTATCAACATGGCTAAATAACGATGGTGTGTGTATGTGTGTGTTATAGTAACAGCGTAAATTATGTTTACAATGATAACAGTTTTTGATTGTATCGTTGTTGATATTGATCATTTTAATGATTAAGACGTGTGATGGTGGTTTAGATAATAATTATGTTAGCGTTATTTATGAATATTTATTGATCAACCTATGAATGAGTGACAAACAAACAAATCAGCTTGCAACAGATGGATGTGTTGTTTATGTTGAAACTGCACCACAAGGTCAATATCGTTCCCATCATCGCCAAAGCAGACACACTCAACACCGACGAACTCAAACTGCTGAAATCAAGGGTGGGCTTTGTTGTAAGGATGGTGATGATGATGATGCTTATGATGATCGTGATTATGTTATTGGTGATAATAATGTTCATGTTGATGATTATGAAAAAAGTTTAGTTTATTACAGCCATATTGGCGTTGATGACGATGATGATGTTTTATGTACATTCATTTTTTTGATGAAGTCGTTCATATATGTTTCTTGTTGGTGTCATTTATTATTGTCGTTGTTTTCAATAGGGTCGTTTGATATGCATAGGAGGTATATTGTTTTGTCCACCGGCTTTGAATTTAATGTAATCCTGTTCATTGTTGACTTTGAACATTTGCTAAGCAAACAGTTGCAGTAGCCAGATCGACTGACCACAAAAGCATGCATCAATGACGTTGTTGCACATGCATCAATGACTTTGTTGTACAGGCAGCAATGAAAGTCATTGCTGGCTGCACCAATGACTTTGTTGCATCTACGTTGAAAAAACCTCTCGTGTAACTAATTGGTTGGACCTGTAAAATAAAGTCATCAAGCAGTGCAACCGTCATTATAACTTCATTAGGTGCTGGAGGACATCGAGAGGCATGGTATAAAAGTCTATGAGGTGCCACATTGTGACAGTGATGAGGAGGAGGAAGTCAAGATGAGGGATGAAGAACTTCGTGTGAGTGCCATGATGATGATGACGTCGATGATGATAGTGATGATGATGTCGATGTCTCTGGTGATGATTATGTTGTTTTATTGCAGTGCGAATAAGTATTTCATTGTTGAGAAAGTACTAATATAGATTCCATTGATTAATTTTAACAACAACGCTATTTCCTATCACTTACCAGAGTCTTCTACCGTTTGCAGTGGTGGGCAGCAATGGGGTTGTTGAGGTGGGAGGTAGAAAGGTGAAGGGTAGAATTTATCCGTGGGGGGTTGTTGAGGGTGCGTTTTCATTCTACGATTTTTAAATTCAGACATAACTTCAAATTATAATGCGAATGTTTTGGAATTTATGAATGCAAAGAATGCTTTCTTAGATTTTCATTAATGTTTATCATTAATTTATTATTCATTAATAATTATTAATTAATTATTCAGTTGAGAATCCAAAACATTCGGACTTCACCAAGCTGAGGCAGTTTCTTGTTAGGTAAGTTAGTTTCCTGTCATGTGTTGATGATGATCGTAATTCTGAGGGCGATGATGATAATGATGATTTTGATGCTGTTACTTAAAAATTATATCATTTATATTCATACTTAAAATTCACTCTGACCCTGGCATAGTTTGAAACTTGGATAAGATAGCAGCCAGTGTGTCCACCTCGTGGGGGATAGGCAACAGCACAGGGATGTACGTAGATGACAGGTATGCCGGCGGACCAAAGGAAAGGCTGAGGCTATGTTTAATCACAAGTCCAGATTACTTGGATGCCAAAGCTGAATACGATTAACCTGGTAGCCCCACGCATGCCGGACACGGAGAGTCTGCACCTTCGACTGTGCTGGCTAAAGTTAGAGGTGTCAGAGGAAAGCCTCTGTAAAATGGAACGTAGACTGGCAATAAATATATGTAGCGTGCTTTCTATTTCCTAAATTTACTACCTTGAGGCTTAAATAAATCAGGAATGGAGCCCCTTAGGCGTTGATGTTATTAATTTTGGTTTTCTTTTCTGGAAACGACACACACACACAGAGTATATGAATACGCGTAAAAACCATGCATCATACACATTGCATATGATAGGCGGGGATCTTTTTTTATTCGAACCCAGAAATACACCCCGGAGAAGAAACTCTGGAGTTGCGATTTTGCGACTGAAACACCACGAAAGGCAGCAGTTACGGGTTTTAAGCTCAACCTCATTGGCTTAAGGTACGGACGCCACGGGTTGCCTCTGATAGTGAAATAGTACTTTGTGTCTTACCGGTCAGCTACCGCCCGCCTAATCTGGGCAACACCAAGAAAAGCTTTACTCTTTGCTTAGAGCTTAGATTAGATCAACAAGCAGACTGAACACTTGCACCAAACAGAAATAACCTCAAAATGAAAGCCAAGTACACGGGGTTGGTCTTGCGGTCAAAAATAGCCTACCTTCTATGAAAACTCTCCCCATTTGAGGCATGGAGCGTATTCTAAGCATTGGCTTAAAGAGAGCCACAGGAAAAACCACCCTGATTAGTACATCGCCCCTACACTAGGCTCATCACAGGAGGACAAAGATAGGTATTATGAAAACCTGAAAAAAGATTGGCTGCTTCTCACAAAGAGAACATCTGTTGATGCTGGGTGATTTCAACGCCAGAGTAGGATCAGATATTTTGAATTGGCACTTATTGACACGTTCATATCAAAGTACTTATTGTGACACTGACCACTTACCGGTTGCTTGTAAAATAAAGCTGAGATCTCAAAATTTTCATGCCTCGCGGAAAAAAAGAAAACCGCGTTTGAATACCCCACGTATGAAAAATCAAAAACTGCCCATGGCTCTTGACAACAAATTAAATGAGGCTCTCAAAAGCCATAGTTTTACTGATGCTTGAGGAAAGTTGGATATCTATGCGCGATCTCATCTATCAGTGTTTCATTGTCGGTTTTGAGAAAAAATGAGGGTTGGTATGAAGCAAACTTGTCAGAAATGAAAATTGCTACAAAAAAAAACAAAAGAAAAGCTCTGATAGCTTGCATAAGAGAACCCACACAAAGCAACCTACAGGCTTTTAGAGTTGCAAAAAATAAAACACAGAGACTTGCTATACATACATTGGGCGAATATATATTGGCAAGATCTCTATGAAAATATTCAAACTTGTGCTGATTCTGGTAATGCAAAAGAATTGTACAAAAGGTATAAGGAAAGCTTTTGGACCAATTGTTAGCAGATGTGTTCCTTTCAAGTCAAAAGATGGTATAATAATTAAAGATCGTGCATCTCAAATGGAAAGATAGGCCGAACACTATGTAGAATAGAACTCTATCAAGATCAAAAATACCTTTTTCTTTCACTATCCTTATAGTTTTTAACCTGATTTCTAACATTTTTAAATTCATTGTAAACATCATTAATTTTGGTTCTTGAAAACTATTTCCATAATATTTTTTTTCTTGATTAAATCCTATATGAAACTTGGCAATTTAAATTTGAAATTTCTTCCCTTGTTATTTTCTTTCAAAGGCACAAATTTATTGACAGAAAACTACATATAGAAACTTATCTCATGTTTCATTCTATAACATCTGTTTATCAACCGAATCATTCGCATTAACATCATTAAACAAGGACAAACACAGATTTGCTGAAATAAATTTATTTATCCATTCATAATTCCCTTCATCAAGATCAAATGTTCTAGTATTATTACAATAACTGAAATCTGATCACTTTTTCCAATAGGAGAATGATATGCTAAATTTTGTATTAAATCTTTATTCTGTGTAAGAAGTAGATCTAATATATTCTGCTTTCGTAAATTTCTAAATCTTGTTGGTTCTTCAATGCATTGTTCCATGAAATAATCTTTGAGAGAGTTAACAAATTTTGATGCTAAAGATTTACTGCCACCATTTCCAGATTACGAATTCCAATACACATATACAAAAGCTTTTTAATCTCTAACAACAAATTTTAGTTTTAATTTTACTAAATTCCCTCAATATTTTATCAGTCCTCCATTGCTTGACTGAGATAAATTGGGGCTTTTATATATCACTAGAAATATAATATCTTTTTTTGACCTGATAACTTTATATATATATGCTCTTTAAAATTAGTTTTCAAATTAATTACATTTGAAGTTAACACTTCTTTGACATAAAACGTTCCCCTATAGCCTATTTCCATAAAGTTTTTAGTATACACTTTATATTTCGGATTAGTTTCTACAAAAATCAAAATGTGATATCCAATTTCAAGAACGTCTAACAAACATACATATTATCAAAAGAAATAAGATCGCACAAACATCACTTAAAGCAGACTGGGATACGTGCATATAAAACAGCACTCGCGTATAAACACACTTATACATAAACACTGATATGCATAAACACACGTACACAAAAACACATACGCAAACACACAAAAATTCTCATAAATACTCGACGCCAAACACGTCAACCTTTTTTGAGTTTTTTAACTGAAGTGACGTGGTTTAAATGTGAAATAATCTACTGCATCATATATACAGAACAATAAAAACTCGCACACGAACAAACGTATACACGCTCACAACATACACACTCACACAACGTACACACACAAACGTACAGCACACACATGCAAGATCTGAAGGATGTGACTAGAGAGATTCATTACGAGAACTTCAGAGCCAACAAAATTAAACAGGATAACCTTCATAACAATAAGTCAGTTATTGTTCATGTTGATGTAGTTGTTGCTGTGGTTGTTTTTGTTCATTTTTGTAAATAATAGTTTCGAGTGGTACTTTATAAGATAAATGTAATTGGTTATAAATGATTGTTCATGTTTATCATTTTATTGACTATTTTAAAACTTATAGTATAAACAACTCGGACGCTGATGTGCTGTTGAGACAAAAGGAAGAGGAGGTATGCTGTTGCTGTTGTTTTGCTGTGGCTGTTATTCTTTACGTTATTGTTTGTGTTGTTGTTGATGATGCTTATCAATAAAACAGTCCTTTCAAGTTATCACGTGGTGAGGCAATGTTTTGACCGATATCTTTAAAATTAAATATATAGTGATTGGTATTACTTTGAGACCTCTTCGTGAGTGACCCCATAAATCATTATCTTCTTTTTAGTGCGTTTAAATAGGAAAAAGGGTTTTTTTTATTAATTCTTCGCACTAAAATCGCGGAACGATATGTTTTGCTATTTTTATTTGCTTAATTACGCTCAGAAATTACTACCAGTTTCCAACCCCAAGTTTATTTCAAAATTAAAATCTACATTTGGTTTACAATTGTATATTTTGTAATTAGTTAAAATTGCTAATTACTGCGAGATTGATTTTCACGTTTCCCGCTTTTGGACGATTAACCAAACAAACATACCTCAGTGAGTGCAATCAGTTGATCAAATAAATCGATCAACAAGGCAACTCACCAATTAATCAATTAACCACTCAATCAGTCAACTAATCATTTAATCAACTGATCAATCAATCGATCAACCGACAGATACAAAAGATGCAGGAGATGTTGCGAATGATGCAATCTCAACTCATTGAAAACAGAAACAGACCTGATCATCAAATGGATCGACTGCTATGATGCTGATGACGACGATACCGATGATGATGATGATGATGACACACGCACACACACACACACACACACACACACACACACATACTTGCATACATACATACACACATACATACGTACGTACGTGCTTGCATGTATACATACCCACACACATGCACGCATACAAAAACACACTTTTTCTTAAGCAAATGTTGTTTTCGCACTCACATCATCACATACAAACATTCACATACATTTTTATTTTATTACTGATTTGTCAGATTTACAATTACCTATTCAGTCGTGTTTTATTTTCTCTTTGTGACTCTTCAAGTACACCAGCAGTATGCATACATTTGTGTTCATACATGTGTACATTACATTGACACACACGTACATGCATAAATTTATTATTTTTAAATAGTTACATAAATTCAAACATCCACTTCCACATATATACGTTAGAATTAGAAACGCATCGAATATTCATCCGAAATTTAAAATTTGATTAATATTCTGTTAATATCCGATTAGTGCATGTTTCGTTTAATCCATAATTTTTTTAGATTCCAGAACGCTAATTTATTATTATTATTGTTATTCGCTGAAATAATTTTTGGCCATCATAGCTGTTGAACCATCTGAATGTGAACAAAAAATTGAATGTTATGTCAATAAAAAATTGTTTGATAGACAATCGCTTGATTTTATTGTGAAAATGATACTTGTTTTAAAAATTTGGATTTTTTGGTATTTGGCTTTCGGCAACGGTCGATTAATAGATCAATTATTCGGCCTTCGGCTAATTTACTATTCGGCGCATCTCTAATTAAAATAGCTGCCCATTAAAGCAACGTAATGGCATATAATGTAGAGATGCACCGAATTGTGAATGGTTGATCCACTATTCGGTTGAAGTCGAAGAAATATTATTTTGAAGAAATAAATTTTTTTGAAAAAAACAAGCAATTGAAAAATATCAGTTTGCGGTTAATATTCAATCTTTTGTTCAACAGATATGAGGGCCGAAATAAATGTTTTGCCAATAATAATCAACAATTAATGTTCTTAAATCCAAAAAAGGTAATGGCTTAAACGGAAGTTGTACTATTCGGCTTTTCGGCCTTCAACGATAGCCGAATGTCTAATTTCGGCCGAACATTTGGTGCGTCTCTAAAATATAATGCAACTCGATACATGCACTTAGGTACAATAGAAATATAATAAGTTCGTATTTTGGTTTTTCTTTTACTTTCTTTATTCTCATTGTTTTTTTAATTTATTTTAATTATTTATTTGTTTTTAATATTTATTTGTTTTCATTATTTACATTTTCTTTTTAACAACTATAAGCAGTTCATTTGATTATAGTCTTTTGCATTTTAACTCTGTGGATGTACGACTAATTTTTAAATTTGTGTGTGAGGGTGTGTATTGTTGTGTGTGCGTGTGTGTGTATGTATGTGATTTTTATGTGTTTGTACATATTCATATCAGTTTCAAGTGTTTACAGGTGTTTCCGCGTTTTACATGTGCGTACATTTTGTGGCTGTCTGTATGTATGTGATTGTGTATATGTGTGTGCATGCATGTAAATGAACCTGAGTGCTTTGTCGGACATGCTAACGAAACCCGAGGGTAAACGTATTTTGTTTACGTTACATAAAGATGGTGTATGTTTCTGTAGGGTTGTTTATTTGTATGTACGCATATGTGTGTGTGCGTGCGTGTGTGTGTGTGCGTGCTTTAAAATGTAGGTGTACGTATTAATGTGTTATTATTATTTGAACATTTAAATATCGCCTATTATTACATTTGTGATATTCTCCTGAATGTATGTGCGTGTGTGTTTCATTGTATTTATGTTTGATATATGTGGGGATTTATTTTTGTATGCGTATTTACGTGTGCAAGGTTGTTTAAATGCACTTTAATTTGAAAAACCGTTCTTGATCGTTTGAAGCATTCGCTGTACATCTGATAAAATTGTAGTACAATAACAGCACTAGAAACTAATAATGATATATACTAATAATTATAATAGTAGTGATGATATGCATGATGATTGCGATAATTTAGAAAGTGAGTGAAGGATGTCGCTTGTATGCACTATGATATAATACACGTTGAAGTTCATTTTAGCGGGAGAAGTTTTTTACCTCAGAGTGCTTGGCGTATGTCTGTGAAGTCCAGTTGTGTTTTACTCCTCCAGCATTTCTCACTATCACCTTCTTTTTATCGTTGCTGTTTGTTGTTTCAATGACTGTATGTTGATGTTGACTATATTTAGTTATTCGTTTATTTATATTTTTAATCATTTATTTATTCATTCAATCATTCATTTACTTATTTATTAATTTATTCAATCATTCATTTACTTACTTATTAATTTATTTATTTTATACAGTACGGATGAATAGTTAAATGTTTTTTTAGTAATTAGTTCAATGGTTTGTAATTATTCATTTATTTTATTTATTAATGATAGCCTATATTTACGATTTTTCATACGTATTGATGTTAGCGCTGATGTTTTTATTTGCATACATTAAGGTTCCTTAGCGTTTTTATTTTTTGTAATTTTATTATTTCATAGACGTGTGTGTGTGTGTGCGTGTGTGTGTGTGTGTAATGATAATTGTAACTACTTGTGCAATAATAATAATAATTATAAACAACAAAGCTGAGGTTTATCATCATTTTTTCCTCAACTTCATTTTAACCCACGTCAAAAATAAGCGTTCAGGTATTTATATGATTTTAAACTAACAATATAATTGATTTTAGATTGTTGTTTTTATTTATTTATATTTAATATTATTGAGACTATTTCATATTATTAATACTCTTATGATACTAATTATATTATTTTCTAAGTTTGTCCATTTAATTTTTACTTTTTCATATAACATTTCTTAATTTTTAAACTTTCAATCAGTAATAAAGTTTGTTGATACCGATTCTGTTTCATTTTATCTGTTTCGTTTAAAGATTTGATTTTTATTTTGCCACCAATTTAAGATTGCCACTAATTTAATGCTTTGTTCTCATCCATCCATGCACCTAATGCAATTAATCGGTTTTAACGTCAATCTCAAACTCCTGTAATCACATCTTTTCTTGTTTCTTTCTACTTTTTTTATATGCATTACCTACATCAATCTACTCTGAGAATATAATTCTTTTACTTCATGGCAGATTAAATGTTTAAACTGGTGAAATAATTAATAAATTATTAATTTCGACATTTTATACTGTTTTTAATGTTTTTTTTTCTTAATAGTCTATGTTGTTGTGGACCATATTTGTTTCGTTTTTGGTTTTTTGTTGTAAATATATCCGTAGTATGTTACTATTTGCTTGCTTTTCTCGTAACATAATACTATATATATATATATATATATATATATATATATATATATATATATATATATATATATAGTCGAGTCAACAAAAGCACTCGTTTGTAGTTTCTTTCTGTGGAAGAATTGACTACTGCAATGCGATTATTTTTGGTGTCAACTTATCCCTTTTTGAGGATTTGCGGCGAGACTTGTTGCTGTCGAAATTCGATTCAATATAATCATACTTAAGGTATAATCTACAGTGGCTCCGCATGCCAGAAAGAATCGTTTTCAAACTAGCTTTTCTAGTCAGAGATGGTCTTGCTTTAGACGCTCCAACTTATTTGAAAGAACACTACAATTAATTTCAGAAATTGCAAATCGGAGTCGACTGAGATTCTCCGATAAGGGTGATCTTGTGCTTCCGAAATACAATTTGTCTCGTTTTGGAAAGAGAAGATCTTCTGTTTCATCTGCAAAAATCTGAAATTGTAGATTTGAAAAAATTCAACCTTAATAAACTTCATCAAGGCGATAAAAGTCTCGTTAGAAAAATTGAGAAACTCAACTACAAGTTGAATAATGCCGAAAACGCAGTGATCTTTATAAATAGTTGTATTTATGATAGTCTAAACCCAAAATATATATATATATATGTATGTATAGGTATATGTTTTTATTTGGTTTGGATTGGGTGGCCGTACAAGTTCGTTTGAGCTTCTGTGTCTCCATGCTTTTTGCTGAATAAATTGAATTGAATATATACATACACATAAAAAAACATTTTTGTTTTGTTCTCTAGCACGAATTGTCACAAATGCTTATTTTTTAACACCATTTATTTTTATCATGCAGAAGAATTTATAGCCTGCTGTTTACGCTCTGTCAGTCATTATTTCCTGTTTTGATGTTTTTCTCAGTTGCGTGCAAAATTAATACATTTAAATTTAAACTTAAAGACCTCCCCGATGTTTTATCGTATTTAGTTTTTTTTCTAATCTCTATCGTTATGTGTTCATTTTTAACTAATTGTATTCTTATTTTCGTCATGTTGAAATTTTTAATTTTTTCTTGCTTCTAGCAGATTGCAGCCTAATGCTAATTAAATTGTGTGCATTTGTTTCATTCTATAACACTTTACTAAAGTATGATAATAAATCAGTTAACCAATTTTTGGAAAGAATATTTTTTTAACTATCTCTTGTTTTCTTTCGAAATAGTCGAAATTGCGAAACTTTTATTAGTTTGAATATTTAATAACCCAACGATACAAGTTTCAAAAAAGTTTGCAGCAGATGATCATGGTATTTTCATATAATCCTGAAATTGAAAATTATTCTACTCCTTGTCAATTACAAAGCTTCTTGAGAGTTTTTCTAAAAACATGTCTCTAAAAGATTTTGCATTAGACATTAACAGCTCTCTATTAGTCAGCAGATTTATAATATGCATATATTAACGTGAATTTCATGTTGTGATATTTATCAACAAATGCCAGAATTGATACTTTTTTACTGGTACAAAAGATGAAGTGTCCGTCGTTGAAATACACATTGCTTGAAATGACATGATTGTCAATTTGGAAGAGTCTGCGTCATTATAATATATTTTTCGGTTTCCGCTAATTACTCGAACATATACCATGTTTCCGCTAATTACTCGAACATATACCATCTCATGGGCTTCCTGCACCAATTTGAATGGATGTGTAACATCATTGCTGCTTTAAAGATTGTTTGACGTTGTTATTTTTCCGGCTCAAAGCATTTCAAAAGCCGCTATCCATCAAAAAAATGATGTTGTCTGTTTGGTGAGATTTTAAAGGGGTCACTTTTTTGAGCTTTTACCGGATAACACAACATGTAATTCATCAACTGGACAAACTGAATAGTGCACTTCAACAGAAAAGGCAAGAATTAATCAACAGAACAGGTGTAGTGTTTCCCCAAGATAATGCTAGACCTCATACAAGCTTGGTCACTCGCAAAAAGCTTTTACATCTTGGGTGGGATGTACAGCCACACCCATCATATTTTCCAGACCTGGCCCCTTCGGATTATATTTTTGTTCCAGTCACTAAAATTTTTTGGACGGTAAAACCTTCACCTCAAATGAACCTAGATCATATAGGTATATAGACATATGACATGGATCAGTTTTTTGCCAGCCAGCAAAGACCAAGCATTTTATAAGCGTGGAATCATGCTACTTTCAGAAAGATGGCAAAAGGTGTAGGATCAGAATGGCCAATATATAATTCAATTAAATATTTATTCATTATACGAAGATTGTCTTTCATTTTCAACACAAAAAACGAAATTACTTTTCGATTTACCCGATGAATAAAAGTAGGACTGACCAGTATGCGAACAATTTTTACGATCTTTTAATTTCAACCAATCGTTTCTGCGAGATTAACAAAGCTTCTTAATAGAGCCCCAGGCAGAGAAGATTTTTATAAACCGCAACCACCCGTATCCGCAGTGTAAACTAGTGCAACAGCCCACATCCGCACTGCTCATTATCCGCATCCGTACCCACAAAAAAGCAACCTAAATCGGCTGTCTTAATCTCATGTTTAAATTTAAAAGATAGCAACCTAAATCGGCTGTCTTAATCTCATGTTTAAATATAAAAGATAGCAATACTAGAAAGCAATTTATTTACAATATAATTATAACTAGAAGAATTGTAAGAGAAGAATTTAATACATTTCTAATTTAATAATTGAAGTCGGCCAGAACAACGAGCACAAAATGAACGACGATGAAGAACTCAAACAAGCTATTTATTTACTTAACATTTACAAAGATGTTGTTTTATATATATATAGCCTAAACATATATATCAATCAATCAATCTTCGTTTTGCGTCCAGAGACCCGGTTTTCCGAGGTAGGACGTTGTTTTCTTTGCCATCAACTTTTTACGACAAATTAGACGATCAGTTGTATCCATTTCATTTAAATTTAGAGCTTTCATGTCTTACTCGATTGTTTGCGACCAGGACTTCTTTGGACGGCCTTTGGGACATGTGCCAGGTACTTCAACATCTGCAAGAGAAGTTATGGCACTGTTTTCCACTTCGTTTGACATGACCAAACCACCGCAGACGGTGTTGCCGGCATTCGTCCTTTATATCATCTAAACCAGCACGACGCAGGATTTCGGTAGATTTGATATGGTCCTTCAGACTAATTCGTTGCATTCGTAGCTGTGGATAGGATGGGTTCACCAGTGTTCATTGCTTTGGTTTTGCTGATGTTGACTTTGAATCCATGATCGGCGAGTCTGGTGTTCCAATCTTCAAAAGCGGTGGGCCTAGCCTTTCCCTCAAAAGCACGCAAGGCAGCGTGGATGCAGTTTTATGTCATACCCAGGACGTAGCCTAAACATATATATATATATATATATATATATATATATATATATATATATATATATATTTTTACACACCACACACACACACACACACACACACATATATATATATATATATGTTAAGATATGTTTAGAAATGCAAGACAGAAAAGAATCAAATGATTTAGCAGTTTCAAGGGAAAAGTTTACTCAACAGTGTCAAAAGCAGAACAGAAGAGCTAAGAGTAGAGTAAGGACATGGATATTGCTCATATATATCCTTGAGTAAGAATACCAATACCAATAAAAAAAGAATATCATTAAGAGGATGGGGATGTTGCGGTCGATGCTGATTAAATATTTAATAATTTTTTAATATATTTATTATTTAATATAATCTTGGTTTATGCTTTTATGTATTAATTAATAAATTAATATATAAATTTTAATTAATTAATATACAAATACAGTATTGCCATCTAATTAATTAATATGTAAACATTTATATAATAATAAAAAGCGTGACGAAGAAGCTATGTATCAATGATGAATTCCGATAGTTTATCCTGCTAATTATCAAGGTGCGGTGTATGATATTAGGTTGAGAGAAAAAAAATGTCGCTTTTTACTAGTTTCAACTTCTTGGAGTTATTTTTAGGAAATTATTTTTGGTGTCACTGAATGTTATATATCATTTTAAAATTTAATTATTTATCTATGTATTCACCACGCTACTCATTGGAAAGAGTAGCGTCACCACGCTACTCATTGGAAAGAGTAGCGTGTCACCACGCTACTCATTGGAAAGAGTAGCGTGGTGTACATTGGAATGAATAGCCAGGTGCTTTATTCAATCGGTCTTTAAGCTTCTAAAAATGTTGTCGAAGCGGGAAAATTATATGATTTTGTTTCATGAGTTCAAACTCGGCCGTAATGTCTCAGAGGCAACTCGAAATATTATCCAAGCATGAAGAGATGCAATTTTTTCTAAAAAAAACCACACAAAGATGGTTTATCAAGTTCCGTTCTGGTGATTTTGACCTCGAAGATAAAGAGGGTCAAGGGAGACCATGTTATAAGGTTGATAAATTGAGGGCAATTACTGAAGCAGATCCGCACAAAACTACACGGGAACTTTTAAAGGAACTTAACGTTGACAACGCCACAATTTGTGACCACCTGAAGCAAATCGGAAAGGTTAAAAAGCTGAATAAGTGGGTTCTCCACGAGTTGAACGAAATAGCGCTTTACAAACTAATTGATTGATGTCCAAACAAAAAAAACTATATATACTATAAAATTTTAAAAAACGAATTTAAATTATTAATAAACTATAAAAATAAACAAAATTTTAAACTTGAAAAATTGTTTATGGAAATTAAGGAATGACTTCTAAAGCGCGCTAAAATACGTGCGGTTGCGTTCGAGAGCCAATATATAGTTATGTCATTGCTAAATTATCTTGTAGGTTCACTTTTAATTTTTAAACATGGTTTCCCAGTCTGTGTGCTCTCTAAAAGCTTTAATTTTTTTTAATTGATTAAAGTTAAAGGCGATGGCTAATAATAGGACGTACACTTAAAAGTATTTTGATAAAATTGATAAAATGTATGATTTTAAAAAAAATTATGGCGTCAAACCGTTTTTTTAGACTCTAAAAAATTTAGTTTAGCTTTAGTTTTGTAGGTAAGTAAAGTAAATCAAACAATGTTCAATGAAGAATAATTAATAACTATTTGTTAATATTAAATATTACTATTGTTAATATTGATAACTATTATTAAATATAATAGGAAAAGCGGATTAATTGCGATTGATCATCATCATTCTTCATTCAACCTCACTGTACAGTGTACATGGTGTTTTGTTGAATATTGATATTTCACTTCTTGCATCATTTCTTATGATGTGATGTTCTGTTCTGATTTCGTTTTCACAGGTAGAAGTAGAATTTAATTTAGACTTATTTAGCTCATTTGTTAGAATATTTACATTTTTTTTTTCAAATATCATTTTTTAATATTCTGCTAATTCTATTTGTAGTAAATTACTAAATAATAATGTTATTACTAAAAAACTAAATAATGTAAGTACTGAAATCAATAAAAAAATCAAATTTTATTTCAAATTTAATTCTATTTGAATTTTTATTATGAGCTAACTAAACTTAATTATTAACATTTTTAGAAGGAAAAGTATATTAATAATTAATAAATAACATTGTTTGAAAAGTCTAACAGTTTTATTTTATCTTTATAATTTTTTGGCAGTTTTTATTACAAACATTTTATTATTTTTATTATATTATATTATGTTTCAAATTAATAAAATAATTAATTAATTTGATAAGATTTATGATTATCTTATAATAAATTTTTGATAGTTTCAGTTCAGGTAATCAATGGTTGAATCAGGATCAAGTTCACATTTGTTAGAGTCCAACCAAACACAAGGTGGACAAACAAACAAGTGCATCAAATCTCAAACAATTCATTCCAACGGCGTTCAGAATTTTTTAGTCACAAAAATTCCCAAGTCAATTTTAAAAAAATTATCACCATATTTGATAGCTCTAAGGTTGTGGTCTTTAACAGCTTCCCTGTGTCCAGTTTCTTTAGGTGCATGTCTCTATTACAAGTACAGCAATAAATTTGACATATTCATTTTTGTGATCACGTCTATGTGTGCACTGTCAGTACATGCAGCTGGTAACTTAGTAAACACTTATTATGATTATGTTAAAGGAATAGATAGCCAGAAGAAAAGTGATGACAGAACACTGGTTGATCATTTATTGAGCCCCAATGATGTTTCGACCATGGGTGCCATTTGTTATATATTTGGTTGTTTGGGATTTTTAGTTTTATGTCACATATCACCTGCACCAGTACCTCATCTAGCATTGTTATATTTCGGAGGGCTCTCAAGCAGTTTTCTTTACACTGGAGGCTTAGGCTTAAAATATTTGGCGTTAGGAGATTTATTAATTTTTCTTACATTTGGTCCACTCACAGTTTTGTTTGCATACTTGGCTCAGGGCGGTCCATTGAGTTTATTTCCAATGTTACATGCTGTACCAATCGCCCTCAACACAGAAGCCATACTCCACGCCAATAACACTCGAGATATGAATTCTGATAAGGAAGCAGGTATAGTAACTCTAGCTATTCTTATAGGCAAGACGGGTTCATATGCTTTATTTGTAGCACTCTTATTTCTCCCATACATTATTTTTATAGTTCTCGCTGCTAATTATAACATTTTATTTTTTTTGCCTTTGCTAACTATATTTTTAGCATTTCCAATTGAAAGAAGCTTTCGCGCTGTGCTAACCAATGTTGACAACAGTATCACAAGAGATTTGGCTAAATTGAATTTCTTGATGTCTTTGTTTTATATTATTGTCTGTTTATTGAGTGATAAATCGAAATTGCCTGGGTACAACATTTAATGAAATGATGTGATGACATTCAGAAGAAGTACCGTGTACTTTTCAAATGAATCACAGGATATTTTATTGAAGTCATTTTTCTGATGATGCGGAGATAGATGCACTCTATTATATTTCTCAATATTTCTGTTAATGATAACTTTAAAACTCTAACGGTCATTGTGCAAATTGTGTGGTAGTTACAGCAGCATAAATTGCAATAGGCACGTTTGACAGTTGACAATACTCAAATGACTTACATTGTTGGCACTTTATTTTTTGAAGCATGAACATTTCCCCCTATATTTACAAATGAAAGATTAGTATTTATGATGATGTACGTTATGAAATGTGCATGAGTAACATCGCGAATGCTTTTTATACCGTCTGCGTGAAGTCTCGTGCTTTTCTGTTGTATTAATTCTTTGATTTTTTAACGTTAGGAATGCATTTGGTGCATTTGCAAAAAGAAAAATTGTTTAGACATAATAGCATTTAATATGAGATGGGTACTTATTTCATTTTTACAATAAAGTATTTTACACATCTAAAACAGATCATGCGTACGTTTCTTTTGGGAAAAATAAACCTACATCATTTAACGTATAACGTAACGAGCACATTAACAAGAAGTTTGACATATCGATAAAAATAATTTTGAAAAACTGTACATAAAATATAACAAGCGGCAATAATAAAAAAAAGATGTTAACATAACAACGTGCAGGATGGCGAACAGAAAGCAGTCGGTTGGAGTGAATATTATTTAACTGAGCCCAAGCGTACGGTGCCACGTGCAAGATAATTTTAATAATGATATAATTTATCGTTTAGAGCATTATTGCCAGGAGACATTTTGTATTTCTTCGTTGCGGTTTGATCTTCATTAAACGCTGCGAGTAACGGATAGAGGTGAAAAAGAGTGAAGATTCCTTGAAAATTAAAACTATGTCGCACTAGAAAAACTTAAATAGGTTTATTAATTTTGTGCAATTAGTTGTTGGGGTAGATAAACGGATGGTAAATAATAAATGAATACAAACGGCATAAAAATTAAATCGTGACCTATTATACAAAATCACGAATGACACGGAAAACGAAAGCAAGGTAAAAAAAAACCCTAGAATAAAGTAAAATGTCTTATTATAATTTATTCTGCGAAATATACTTTAATTTTAGATTAATTATGACCGTGGATATTAATATTTCCATAAAACTTATAAACCAAGAAGGACTAGAATGGGCAAAAACGAACGAGTACTTCGTTATTTCAATATAATTACAATGTAGATAGCGGTGAACTTTAGCGGTAAAGCTTGATTTGTATGCGTGCCCAGCAAGTTACTCGGTAAATACTAATTTGCTCCAAATCAAGTGCTGCCACCTGAAATTATGTTCAATTAATTTTTGGTGACTCGTAATTGAATTTACATGTGAAATAATGGAGGGAAACACATTGCGGCGGTTGTGACGATTGTTTGTACATGTATTATTACTGGCGATGTATAAAACAACAACAAAAAAATATAAATTGTAAAAATACTTTGTCAAGTTGATAAATCACATCGAAAACATCATAACCTATTAGTATGACGGAACGATAACGAGTTGATGCTACTGGTTTCACCAGCATTGCATCAGTGAACTTGAACTATTTATTGAAAATCACATATATCACAAATTACGACAACAAAAAATAAATTATAATTTGCAACCTTCAGTTGCCATGGTTTTTTTTCTTAAAATCACTTTCATAATGATTATCAAAACTTATGCTGCCTGCTGTCATCAATTCATGAAAACTGCATCATTGTTGTCGGCGCCACCTCTGCCAGTGTGGAACCGTCTCATGCTGGTGATGGTGTCTTGGTAACTGTCACTTTCTGGAACAACCTGAAGCACTTTGACCGATTTCTGACTGCCTGGTGTGCCTATCTGCAGGTGCTGTTGATGAGTGTTGTGGCATTTCAACTGGAAACTGCCAGTTCTGAATGTAAGTTTCTGGTTGACCTGTTTCAGGTTTACGGACCATGACAAGAGGTCGGTCAAATGTGACGCGTACCCATTAGATATCACCTGCATCACAAAACATCGACGTAACATTAACTTAAATTAACGTCAACGATTTAACATAATATTAAAGAATAACGCAAATTTATAACTCAAAGAAATATCTTTTAATATATGCAAATGTAACTGAAGAAGCTATACCGTAGCTTCTTTTTTATTTTTTTTGGATACTTTGCCGACGACGAATATCTGATTTGGTTGTAATCCAATAGACTGGTAAACAGGGACGTCTTTGTTGGAGCCATAAGCTGCAGAGATGACTAACTCCGCCTAAAATAAAGAAATTTCTCAAATGACGTTTCTTAACAACAAAATTATTTTGAGAATTTCTTATTTTTACTGACCTCCCTAACAAGTTGTCGTAGATTGGATGCCTTTTGCTTGAGTGGTTCTGCGCTCAGTCCATCGGCAAACCAGACGAGGCCGTGAGGAAAATTGTGTCGAGCTAACCATTTGGTAACTCTTCTGTGCTGCATGTCGGGACGGGCAGTAATGTAAATGATCAGATAGCCTCTTTCATGATAACACCTGTAAATATTTTTGAAATCTATGATGATGACCATGTTGACAAATTAAATTATTTTTTGAACAATCGAAACCGGCAGGATTATAAAATATTATTTTATTTCTTATTTATTTCTACTTCTAAACCAAGTTTTGCGTATAATCCATTCTTTCACAAACAAACCTGACAACATCGACAGCTCCAGGTTTGACCTTTGGATCCCTTCCCATGATTGAGACACTGGCAGTGAAGCTTCCATCAATACTGAAGACAACTACTTCTGTTCGAGCTGGGAGGACAACCATGTAAAATGATGCTGACGACTGATCAACTCTGAATGATGAATATTACATGAAGAACCAATAAGAAAGTTATTGCGAGAGAGCAAGTGTTAACGATTGTGATGTTTATCGCCACTTACTTGCATCTAATCTAAATAAAAAGAAAATAAAAACAATAAATACATTTTTTTTAGGTTGGTTCACAGAAATCTACGCTATATTTAAGAATACTAATGCTCGGGAGGTTTTGCCGACCATAGATTATTCTTCCAACTTTTGGAATTTAAATTTTCAAATCATTGACTGTTCGAAAAAAATTACAAAAAATAACAAATGGGATTTTCTAACCACCAACCTAACTGTCATGTTGACAGAATAAAGTCCGGCAGATAACTTTTTATGTTCAGGGATGTGGTAGACTATTCTTCCATTTTGATCCGTCAATTCTGTAGACAGATGTTCCTCTTGACCTCTCACTGTCACGCTGATGTCCACCTAGCAAGAATCATTTATCATTTACACTAAATATTGGTGGGATAGAATTATTTTATTGCATGTGAAATTTGTTTATAATGTTAAGTTATTAACTGAATAAATTAATAAATGTTGAATAAATGGTGAGATGTTTTTCCTACCCATTCATTGTTCACTGACTATAAGATAGTACATTTCCAAACCAACCAACCGACTGATCAATAAACCAACCATTCAAGCAGCCAGCCATCTATCCAACCAACTAGCCAACAAACCAATTGACCAACTAACCAACCTTTTCCCCAGAGAGTGATACGACATCGAGTGGACCGTACATGAATCTTGCTGCCAACAACTGAGGTCGACTTTCAAGGACTATGACGTCATTAGCTCGGTGATTTGGCGCCAAATTCTGGTTGGTTGGTCAAAGTGGTAATGAATGAGAAAACACACACAAACACGCATACATGTGGTATATATATAAATATGTGAAATATATATATATATATATATATATATATATATATATATATATATATATATATATATATATATAATATATTTATATAAATGCAAATTTCATTGAAATTGTTTGCCCATTTTGCATTAATTAACTTCTTTATAAGACATTTTTTCAACGTTTTTCAACCATGTTAAAACTTTTATAAAATTTCTATATTTTAATTATTTTACTAAACATTTTATTTAAATTACATTATTTTATTTATATAATTATTGATATTTACAACAAGGTTAATTTATTTCACAATTTAATACATATTTTATTTTCTATATTTTCACATTTTACATTAGACATTTATTTTAATTAAATTATATGTTTAAACAATATTTAGGCTCTGAAGATGGCATTACGCCGAAACAGCGCTGTTAGCTTTATTCCAGTTTTAGATAAATATGAACTCAAACAATACCGCCTCGTTGAATGTCTTATAAAGAAGTTAATTAATGCAAAATGGGCAAACAATTTCAATGAAATTTGCATTTCTGAAAACCTCGTTCCTAAATATATATATATATATATATATATATATATATATATATATATATATATATATATATATGTGGAGGGGGTGAAAATTTCCGTCCTGCTTCTGCAGGTGGGGCGTACTTTACATACTCGTACTGGCCAACCATACCTGCGGTAGCGGAAATTCTCACCCCTTTATATACTCACGTACTTGTGGATATATATATTAAAATACATTAACATTATATAATCCTAAACTAAAATTACATTAGTAATTATTTACAAAAATGCTCCATGGTAAGCCAAAATGCAAGACTGAGAATTTACGTACTCTGACTTTCAATTGAGTTCTCTTTATATACTCACCCTCACCTCTTTATATACTAACCCTTTATATACTCACGTACTTGTGGATATATATATTAAAATACATTAACATTATATAATCTTAAACTAAAATTACATTAGTAATTATTTACAAAAATGCTCCATGGTAAGCCAAAATGCAAGACTGAGAATTTACGTACTCTGACTTTCAATTGAGTTCTCTTCTTGAGCCACTTTTCTTTGTTAGTAAAGTGAGAATGTGGAGCAGGTTGTGTGGAAGATTGTCTTGCAGTGCTGCATGAATGAATCGTCGATGAATGAATTGTCTCTTCAAGCGATAAACAATCTTGTCTTAGTACCTAGTGTTAATGAGATGGACGGTGGTTAGTTCTGGCAAGTGAACAAGCATAAATATTTTATGCCGACACAGTTATTCATTTAATGATATATTCATTAACAAAAAAATATTCATTAGTTATCCAACCTGTCTAAGAATAAATGCTACAAGATCACAAGACTCCCAAAAACTTGAGTGAAGAATGTGCGGAAGTGAATGTGAAGGAAAGTTCTGGAGTGCCTCGGGACAGTAGATGCAGTAGTCTAGCCTTTTGACGCCCCACCAATTTGCCGACACTTCGCGGGTAAATACGATGACGATAATTATGATGATGACAATTATTACAAGGATAATGACGGTTATAGTAGTTATATCCCTGCTAGGTGAAAGAGCTTTACTATCAACCAAAAAGGTGAATCTATGTATCATACATAATTGTTGTTATTCTTCTTTACATTTCTCCTGTCTTATACTTTCAGGACATTGGCGACCATCGACCTCCACATTTTGTATATACATAATTCAATATATACAACATACATAACCGTTATTATTACTCTTGATAATATACGGTATACGCAGTGGCGGATCAATGGGGACCTAAGAAGAAAAAAATATAATCATTATTATTATCGGCGTTCGTAGGTGTTACCCCGTTATGGAACGCGTCTATTTAAGACTTTTCTAGTGCTTAGTATTTCGGGTTTGTTTTTTCTATCGTGCACATCCTTCCTGAAATACAATACTTGTAAACATTTTTTGTGGAGCGCCTTCTCAGGCATCATGTATTTTTGTTATGCCTCATACATAGATTCAAATTTAGACAAATACAAACATAAATTCCAATGTGGTGAGTTGTAAGCGGTGACTCTTTTGCCCAGGAGCACGCAGAGCAGCGTGGATACAGTTTAATGCCATTGGGACTTATATTTGTGTATGTCTGAGTTTTAAACTTGAGGCAGAAGGGGCCTCGACAAAGCGGCGCTCGACAAAGAGGTTTAAAGAGTGTGCCAGCCAACTAACCAGCCAATGTTGCATTGATTAATCACTCAATCACTTCCATTTCATCGATCATCAAACCATTCACTAAATCGACTAAGAATTAATCAGCCGTCAGTCATTCAACCAATCAACAAAGCATTCAAAGGAACAACTCAACTAATCAAACAATCTTTCAGCAAACGAACAAACATACAAACCACAAACACCAACCTGCCTCTACGTGACTGCTGTTTAAAATCAGCTGATCAGACATCTGACTGCCGTATCTTGGTCGACCAATAGGAACCTCGTAGGCTGATGAGTCATCATCATTCATTACGTCATTGCCGGATATTACGTCACCAAAAACGTCAGGAAAATTGTGAATAGTTTCGACTGCCAATGAAATTTTAAAAGAAGTTATTAAATTACCTATTTTGGGTAGATAATATTTTGTATTTTTAATTTAGTTATATTCTTCCATCTTACCGATTAAAAATAGTTGTTGCTTATTTTTTAACTCACCAGTTATACGTTAATAAACATTTTAAATGATCTAGTAACTAGTTGAATTCACTAATTTATTTTTTCTATCTTTTATTTTTCTCACCCAAATGAACAGCTACACTTTCGCCATATGAGAACTTATTGTACTTTTTTAGCTTGATCGGTTCAATGACCTTGAACTTGAGGTCGACCAGGGGTTCGATGCGAAAGGCGCACGGATCGGAAGGGTAGAAGATGTTGTACAGCTGATTGCATGTGGGTTTTGGTGGCTGGGCTGTGATAATCATGTTATAATGTCATGATGTATGGTGATAATATGCGGTGATGATGAGTGGTGGTGTTAAGGTGATACGTTACAGCAGTGGTTTTGTGAAACGATAAGTTGTTGCATTAGTTGTTATGATGTGAAGATAATATATTGATGATATTGTAATATTAATACATAAATAACTGCATAAATAATCATGTTATAATGTCATGATGTATGGTGATAATATGCGGTGATGATGAGTGGTGATGTTAAGGTGATACGTTACAGCAGTGGTTTTGTGAAACGATAAGTTGTTGCATTAGTTGTTATGATGTGAAGATAATATATTGATGATATTGTAATATTAATACATAAATAATGCAACTTTGAATAGTTCTGCAAAAAAAGTAGACAATTTCTTTTGCATGAAACAAAACGTATATAGAAATACCTGCTTTGTATATGCCCGTGTGCATCCTGTATGCCAGGACCATACCCAGTGGTGAACCAAAGAGGAACACCTCATCCACCTCGAAATTTAAACCTTTCATTCCTGCTACAACATGGCCAACCGCTGCTGTTGATGCTTGTTGATGGGGAGATGTAGTGGAGGATGATTTAACTGTTGGGAGAGATGAGTTGCGAGTGAATTGTGAAGCAGATGGAGACGTCGATGAGGACGTCTTTCTGTTGTTGGGGTCGTTATTGCTACAATTTTTGTTATTATTCAGAGTTTTGTTATCACTTGTGTTACTGCTGTTGTCACTGGCAGTGTTGAGATCGTACATTGAGATGAAAATATCGGAATGAAAATCATGAAACTCCACTTGTTGATTTCCCGATGTTTGCAACTTTTCGTCATTGGTGCCGTTGTTATTATTGGCTGAGTGTGCAGGCAAGGTAGGTGAACTGATCTGACTAGTAAAATTGTTTGCAGTGGAAGATGAGGTCAAGAGGTCATACGCGTATATGGAACCTACGCTGTCGGCCATTATGCAAACCTATCCATTTTCAAATTTATATGATAAAAATTAGTTTACTGAAGATATTTATTAGCTGCAACATAATAATTTGAAACGAGGCATTATTCATGACAACAAATTGTTGTTGATCAAAACATATATCCCAATTACATATTTATATATAGATATATAAATCACTCATTGATTTGATAATCTTAAAACGAGAGCAAAAAGATAACAGGAGCCGGACCACTAGAAATAATAATAAAATAAAATATTACAAAAACTTTATGTCCACGTCATATGAAACGGATGAAAGAATATTAAGAAATACAAGTCTCAAAATACATAACGATATCCTTTCTCTCTAGTGACAATAGTAATCTTACTCATCTTCTTGCTCTTGACTTTTCCTCTGCTTTTGATACTGTTGATCATACTATTCTCTTGAGGCTGCTTTCTTTTAATATTACTGATTCTTGTCTATCTTGGTTTTCTTCTTATCTCTGTAATCGTTTTTCTTATGTTGTTCTCAATAATTCTACTTCTAACTCCTCTATTCTTACTTTCGGAGTACCTAAGGGTTCTATCTTTGGCCCTCTTCTATTTATATTCTGTACTTCTGAACTACCTCGTATTATTAATAATTTTTCTTTCACTTGTCAACTATATGCTGATGATTCTTATATTTATACTTCTTTTTCTCCATCTAATCTCAATAGTGTTCTTCATAATCTATCTCTATGTCTTTCTTCAATCATCGCTTGGTCTGACGGTATGTGTCTTAAAATTAATCCATCTAAATTTGAATCAATTTGTTTTGATAAATCTAAACACTCTATTACTATTCCTCCAATTATCTTATACAACTTTTGATGTTTCTCACAAGTTTCGTAGTCCAGGCTTCATCTTTGATTCTAGTATGTCTCTTTCTTCTCAGATTAACAGTGTTGCTAGAAGTTCTTACTTTCATCTACGTAGAATAAAAAAACTTCAGCCTTTTCTTGACGATCCTACTCTTCCCCTTCTTGTTACTTCGTTAGTCTTATCTAGGATTGATTATTGTAACTCGCTCTACTATGGTCTTCCTGACTCTATACTCTATCCTTTAAGTAAAGCTTTTAACTCTGCTGCTCGTTTAGTTGCTCGTGCCCCTTTATTTTCTCATATATCTCCAGCTGATGACATACTACATTGGAAATGGTAAAGGATTACCGAAAAACAGTTTTTTCTGCAAAAGATAAAAAAGAATATAAAGTAGTTAAAAGGTTTGTTTTCTATAAAAATAAATTATAAAACAATGATAAAAATACGATATAAAATATTGATAAAGTGAACCAGAAACTGACTGAAGAAAGCTGAAAATGCAGTGATATTTCTTAACAATTATATCAATTATATATATATATATATATATATATATATATATATATATATATATATATATATATATACACACACACACAAACATAAATATTTGAATTGAAAAATAATGTTTGCTGGCTTCAAAAATTGAACCACACGTGAAAGCTAGAAAGCTGAATTTAATAGACTGTGACACACGGCTAAAAGCAGTTCTTTAACAAACCACAATGCATATCAAAACCACAATGCATAGCCAATAAAATAACCAATGAATATAATCACAATAATCAATAAAATAAAATAAATAATAAAAAATCAAAAACTGTACTTGTCCATTGAATTTCGCGCCAGTTCTAGCAAATGATTGTTGACAGAATTTATTGTAGCAATAGTTGACTGCGTCCTTCACCTAAGAAATAAAAAAACTTAAATCCTTTATACTTCAGAACTGCGACAAAAGAACTACACACATCAGTGAGGTTTGTTTCTTAATCTTATTTCAACCCTACCAAGTCTGCCTTACTAACAAATCTCTCATTAATCTCTATTCTGTTCAAAACATCTCTCACCTCTCAGTCCTAATCTGTGTTCACTATCATACTGATCTGTTTACATTTTTATGAGGAATTTTTTAATGTAGGGCAACTCTTCATTTCGTAATAATGAGAAACTGAGGATGATGATGATATAAATAATGACAATTAAAATACTACTGCTACTACTACTACTATTACTAATAATGATAATAATAACATATAACACTGACCTGTTCAAGTGAGGACGTATATAACGGACAGTTGATTCCAAATAGAACAATGGAATTTAATGGTACTTTGCTGTTGACCATGAAAAAATCATCATCATCATTAGAGTTGTCGGTTGTTGATAAAGCTGTGTACGTAGTCGTTCTTGTTGTATTGTTGTTGTCGCCTCGTTCTTGTATTGATTTGAAAAACGAGCTGGATGCCAAAGGATTCAATCTTCAAGTGTTTATAGATAAGTCAATTATTAAAATAGTAATTTTGTTGCTGAACAATTAAAAAAATTGGCATTGCAAAAAATATTATCTCAATTTTCACAAAAAAAACTTTAGAAAAATCATTTATGACAGTAAACAGATGTTCCCACGATGTCATCATTCAACAATCATTCAACAATATTATACAATCACTAAGATCATGAGTGTTATTTTTATATCATTTGTATAATTAACAAATATATCAAGGCTCAACTAAAATCCTGCTAACATTGATAATAACTGTATAGGCCTGGCACATAAGTTAGGACATGGCACCAACTCTATAAATATCCGACCAATCATGGAAGAGTATCTTGATCTAATTATCTGCTCAAAAGTCGAGTTCAAAGTTGAAAGGTCATTCATTTTTGAAAAAATTCCTTTGTCCAATGAATCAACGGCGCTACCTTCAAAAATCAATTTATTTATATTTATAAAAACTATTTCATTAAAACTTTATCAGCAATGTAATTTTCTTTTTTTTTACCTCTAAAACCTCAACTGAAAACAACAATAAAAATATAAAAAACAAAAACCTCCATGCAGTAGTATAAATAGCACTTCAGAATTTCCAGACTCGAGAAATGAGGTCAAATTTTTTGGAGCGAGTGTCGGTGATGATGACGACGATGAGGAGTCATCCACAGTTTGGAGAAAACTTTTTTTGGAGATAAAATCTGAAGAGTTATTCATACAATGCCGTTATTTTAAGCTTGTTGGGCAGTCACGAAAAACTTTATCTGCCATCATTATAATCATCATTATCACAAATACAATAACATCAATAATCACCATCACTAACAGGTTAGTGAAGGGAAGGGGCAACAACAACCATCACTAACACCATAACATTAACAGTTGTGTTGAAGTTTATACCAGATATTGAACTGAAAAAGGAGCATTCAATGTGAGCAGATTAAAGGCAAAGACTTAAATCAAATATGATTACATAAGGAAAATGCCATTTGCTAACGATTGATGATGCTTTGTAAAGCTGATCTGTTGAAAAGCAGGTCCCTCCCTTTTTGCCAGGGCTTGCAAACATTCAAGTCTCATCATTAACACAAAAAAGATCAAAGCCCTGCATTAGCCTTCTATAAATTCAATAGCTAGAAAGCCAAAAATAATTATTGATGACCATAAACTGATCAACGTGGATAAATTTGTCTACTTGCATGTTGTAGACAGACACTGCTGATTATGTGATAAATGAGCAGAAGTAAAAGATGAGATGAAACAAACAGTTAACCGGTTAAAAAACAAGAGTCCTGGTAATGAAAAAAGTAGCGGGTGAAATGATAAAGAATGAAGTAGAAGCTGTATAAAAACGAGTTGAAAAAGTTCACTTATTTGGTAAGCAACATTACGTGGGATTCAGATCGCGTAAAAGACAATTCAAAGAAAACTAAGGCTTTTTGGACACATCTGACGAACTAAAAATGAAAGAAAACTGAAAACTTTGGTATTTGGAATATTAAGTCATAAATAACAAAGAGCAGTCACACAAAGAATGGGCAAACGACATAAAAGAATGGTGTAGAACAAATCTCCAATAGAATCACGCTGTAAAAGACAGCATTCTAAGTGTAGTCTTACTAAGCATTTGTACAACCTTGTTATCACAGTTTGTTCCCTAGTCGAAATCGTTCTTAAGCGGCCCCTAGCATTTAATTGGTCTTTTTAGCAAAAAAATCAAAAATAATTAACACTTTTGAAATTCTCTCCTGGTTTTTAAATTGTCTCAATCTATCACTAATCAACATCGTCTGATCTAATAAATTTTGAACTAACCTCATTAACTCTGTAATATTGTCATTTTATTCTGTTTATTGAGATAGGAATATCGATCGATAGAATTACTTAAAACTAATCTAATCTCTTTGTACTCATTCTTTTCGGATGACGAGCTACGTAGAACATATTGTAACAAATTTTATTTCATTTTAATTAATATTTATTATTTTATTTCAATTTTATTTTTACAGCATGTTTTTATTCAGACAAAAATAAAAGATGTTAACCATATTTAATAGTAATAATAATGTTAATTAACTTTTAGTATTGTTGTCATTCAGTCATTTATAAAATTATAATCTTAAAATCTTGAAACTTACCGCTGTTATTTAAGCAACATCAATACAACCATCACCACAATCACAATTATCCTCACAATCATCATCATCATAATCATCATTATTACCGCAATCATTATCACCAACCACAAAGCTACCTTCATCAGCATCAAAATATTCATCCTCCTCTTCAGAGCTCGAATGTTGAAGCCTCTCAATTGTTTGAAGGTCTTGAAATTGCAATTCACGCAAACAATAAATCAGTCAGTCAGTCAGTCAGTCAGTCAGTCAGTCAGTCAGTCAGTCAGTCAGTCAGTCAGTCAGTCAGTCAGTCAGTCAGTCAGTCAGTCAGTCAGTCAGTCAGTCAGTCAGTCAGTCAGTCAGTCAGTCAGTCAGTCAGTCAGTCAGTCAGTCAGTCAGTCAGTCAGTCAGTCAGTCAGTCAGTCAGTCAGTCAGTCAGTCAGTCAGTCAGTCAGTCAGTCAGTCAGTAAACCAAGACATAAGACATGAATTATCAACTAATTGAACAAAGTAATTAATGAATTAAACTATCACAAATAATAATAACGAGCACATCACCATTGGCACTGGATGTGAAGGATATGAATGAGGATTTCTTAAAAGATGGCGTGTTTCTTCCCAAGTGCTTTGGAGCTGCAGATAGAGATGGTGTTGTTGATGATGACGAAATATATGATTGTGATTATTACTATTATTATTATTATTATGATGATGATGTTAATGATGGTTAGAAATAGTATTGTAGGACATACATTTTAATATAATATATATTTATTTATATTTTGACTCGGGCTACTTGTGAGTCCTATAAAGAACAAAATGCGTCTAGCCCAGAAGGAGTTAGGTGTCCACAGTAATGCACCTTTGGTCGTGTTGGGAGATGGTGTACGTTATGCACTCGTACTGGCCGAACGTATTATAACCCACAACCACCATCATTAATCCTCTTTTTCATCATCATCATAACTTTTCGTTTTCATCCTTACCCCGCCTCCTCCTCCTCCTCATTTTAATCACCATCACCATACCTCATTTTAATCATCATTTTTAGCACAATTAATTTTATTGTTATAATTTTAACATAAATAACTCAAATGACTTTTTGATGCCGACCGACCAAAATAAAATCTCCTGGGGAGAACCATTTTAAACACATACTTTATTAACAATACAACAATGTAAAGCAGAAAAAAACCTACCTCAACATGAAATAAATAACAAGAATTATGCATCACTATAAAAAGTAGCAACAAAACAAATAATAAGCAACAAATGAACGAAAAAGAATAGTAGACCTTCCTGGACAGCGCTTTTTTGTGCTCCTTTCATTTGATCTCTCTTCTCGCCTTCACAGCTTTCTTCTTCTCTCTCCACTCCTTCCTCCTCCTCCCCTTCTCCCTGTTTCTCCTGACATCCAGCCATTTTCTCTTTCAACTTTTGTTGAGTTTCTAACTCTAAACGTCTTAATTTTAAAATTTTACTAATGTTATTATTAGCATTATTGCCACTATTACCAATATTAATATTATTAATATTACTACTACTAATAATAACAAATATAATATGATAATAATAATAATAAAAGCAACAGAAAATAACGAAACACCAGTAGCAGCAACAAAAATTAACAACAGCAGGAGCAACAATAACAAAGACAATCACCTTATATCAGCCATTGTGAGTCCATGGTATTCATCCTGCCAACACCAGGCTTGCTTGTGCGCCCTCAACATGGTCTTTCTCAAAGCTGCATGCAAATCCAGTTTGAAAATAATAAGAAAATTCTTCTCTAAATATCTCGTTCATTTTCTTCTTCATACCTTCATTCATTCAATCAGTCATCCATCCATTCCTCAAATTCATTTCATTTACCTACAATCAATCAAAACCACTCACCAACGTCATGGATGAATCTTTCAATTTTTGTCTGCATACCCCAGTATTTGAACTCGACCTTGCACAGCTTGTAAGCGCACATTATAGTTTTTTTATTCATCGAGCCGTCACGCACATCATTATTTTCCATGGCGCCTGCGTACTCTTCTCGCCAGTTTTCATTCAGCGGTCCGCGACCAGTTTTTTCTGAAACAAATTTAGTAGGATCCTCTTCCGGTTGGTAGTCCCCACTGGAGATGACGTCTGTTACTATATCTATGTAGTCTGGTGATGATGGTGGTGTCTGTTATTATAACTATGTCTGGTGATAGCATTTACTACTATATCTATATACTCAGTCTAGTGATGAAGATAATGGCATGATGATAACGATGATGATGGAGCCTGTTAAGTGTCTATGTTGTTGTGATGATGACGGTGGTGACAACATAAATACGACAACAGTGATGAAGAAAAAAAACGACATTAAAAAAATAAGAATGATAATAAATAAGAAGCATAAATAAATACGTTAAAAGGCCATCATCAGAATGAGATTTCAAGGTGAGTGAAGATAGAGGAGAAACAATAATCGCTAGAACATTAATCTACAGAACAAACATCTGTAACATTATGAACAACAATCTGACTGTTTTATTATGCCAGTACAAATATTGTTGTAACAATTTGACGCGCCTAACTACCAACATCAATGTTTTAACTTCAATGATCTCTATATTTCCAACACTAGTGTTGTAGCTTCCAACAATCATTAAGTTATCATCAAGTTATCGTAATTCCGTAGGTTAAAGATTTCCGATAGATGAACACAACTGCTTCGAACGCAAACTTGGTTGAACGTTTATTTGAATGCCAACAGTAACAGAAACACTAAACTAATCCAAGTAACTACTTAAATCACATTTACGACTTCTCTTCAAACCTCCTATTGACTTGGCTACTCCTGCCCGTTATATACAAGAAATTCTGACAATCCAAAGTTTACAAAGATAACGAATAATCGAGATAAAGAATAATATAGTGCGATTTGACTATTGCTGCGGTTATAAAAATATTATAAAAATAAAAGTCATGTTCCTCAGTTTCTTTCATGATCGACTACAAGTTAATCAGTGTTTACAAGCATTATAACTGACATATATTCAGTGGTATAATCATCATTCGTTTCCTATCAGAATTATAAAAATTAAAATTAATAATAACTCACATTTGACGTTTCAAATGAATAAAACACCAAAATAATAATAATTAGCAAACTGCATGAAACTTTAATAAATTTCATAACCTTTTAAAATAACAAAATTTTTGCTACACTTATCATGATAATCCCTCTTCAAATCAAGGTACTTAAAAGAAACCCAGTGTATAACATATAGGAGAAACATGGAAAACATACTTATAAATGAAATAAGAGTCTATATGACTTACCAACAATTCTGTTGGATAGATCAGACTTTGTGAGGTTGAAGACATTATCCTGCGTACCTGCGTCGTTGTAGTACACTGTCTCAATCTCTAAAGAGAACTTCTCGATGAATGGTGTCCTGAAAGTTGAATTAGGGTGATCAATAACCACAATCTTGATAATAATCTTTATGAAATGATCTTTTTTTGTAATAGAGTAGCTGACATTGGAAATGGTTTGCGTGTTAAAAAAATGCTTATGATGTTCACAATTTTAAAAAAAAGACATTAAACATCTGTTAAAGGATAAAAGATAT